CGGAACATGTTCACGTTTGCCCCAAAGCAAAAATCTGAAATGCACCAATGACTCAAGCCATGCAAAATTACATAACTTACAGTTTGCGCCGCCAAAGATCTGAGAAGATAGGAATACTAGTTTGCTCGGAGTACATTCCTCCAACAACTGGCTACAAACTGCAGATAAAAGGCCGCTGTCAATCCTCTTCTCTAGCATAGATTGGATTACGCAGAGACCTAAGTTTCGTCATTAAGAAACGGCAACTAATGCTATTCTAAAGCAGACAATTGATGGTCTTCAAGGAGCCCAGTTACACAAAAGCCTCGACTTAACATAGACAAATTTATTTCGAGATCAACAATGAACATTGAGAAAATATAAACAATAACAACAACAGGAACAACAACATTCTACTTCAACTTTGATAACAACAACAATGACGCGTTGACAACGATATCATTAACAATGAGATCGAGAGATGGTGAGCGTTCAGTACTGAGCTCGGAACTGCGCGACTGGCTTTGTGAGCTGAGCGGTGGACTGTTCTTTGATTCTTCAAAGGTCAGCTGACTGCTGGCACTCGCGACATCATTCTCACAGTAAGTGGCGTCTTTCTACAACGAAATGATGAAAGCAACTAATCGACGTATCAGTTGCTTGAAAGCGAACAAGGTTAAATGAAAAGTATGGCCAACATCGGACCCGGCTTACGGCAAACTTTTTCCATTCTAGGCTTAAAAGTAAACCAAACAGTGGTAAACCTTGTAAGTACAAATCGATATGATATATAATGTTATATGGCATTACCGAGAAGTATTGATATGAACATTCCTGAATATAACGGCTGTTCCCAATGCAGCAAAGCGCCCACTCCCCTGTTACCCAGTCGCTAGAACGCTCCACGTTCAAACGCTACGAATGAACACTACGAATGCCCGATCAATAGGCGATCGACTGATCGAAATAGATCGAAAATCCTGTACCACTGTTATTTCCATGCCCTCCCTACCGTATTCTATGTCTTGTCCTACTTTTTCTACATAATCCCTCCATAAATGGCAGCGGCACTAATATCAATGCTACTTTTTTAGTCCCACATCCACGGAATTTGCTTTTGCTAATGCAATGAGAGGAAAAATAACTGATTAAGGTGCTTTTCACATAAAACATTGTATCCGCCACGATCATTAGACGAAGAAATATTTACTATCATCCCTTGTTTCATGAACTCCAAACCTGTTGGCTTCTCTGAACGAGGGATCGAAAACTAAGCCCTAACATGAAAGTAGGATATCGAAGACGTAGGTCAACTACACTTCTGGTCAAGTCAAATTATGAATATGTGTATACATGCACAAAGTTATTTATTACATGCAAGAATACATGTAGGTGGAAGTGAACTATGAACGAAACCTTACCGAAAACTGGAGAAGGCAGGACAACGGTTGTTCATACTGATCCAGTTCATTGTTGACCGCATCAATGATCCTGTTTCGTAAAATACTAGTGGCCACCATTATCTTGTCATAGGCTCCACATCTACAGGGAGTATGTGGAGGACGGCTGTCGCTTCGAACTTCCATACTCTCCATAGCGTTGGTATTGCCCTCGTCCTCCGCATCGAAGTCCATGACTAAACAATTTCATCAGATTACATAGGGCTAACCTGGCTCTAACTAACCAGACTACAAGATTCGCACATAGTACAGTTACAGTTATTGACTGAAATCTTCAAAAACGATTTGTTGGTAAAATATTCGGAAGGAACCTAGTCTTTTGAAGACTTTGGAGGCTTGCTTTAGAGGTTGGATTTTCTCACTACCACAGTAATTTGAACTAACACTACCATGCTCAGGCTGAAAGTGTGGTAGAAACAAGAGCCTTCTGCAGAATTTGAAAGCAATTAATTGTTAATGGAATCCGTAAGTTATTATAATGTACTGCAGAACCCGTTATTTGCAACTCTGAATCCGAGAATGAAGTCTTATATAAATGGATGTAAAAGGATGGGCAATTTGCTCGTGGGACGATTTTGAGCCCTACGGCAGCTTCATGAACGAAACCACCTATAATCTAAACCAACTAAGTGGTTGGGCTAAAATGCGATATACCAGTGCCATGACCCGTCTAACAACAAACCTCCGAACTCCACTTAAATATCATTTTCTGGTTACCTCTAGATAGCTAAGAATTGTCGATAGGTGACTTCGCAAACTCTGAATAGGCATATAAGGGCCATTCTATGAATAGCAGCCGATTTCATGCACTGGATGATGATAATACAGCTGATTTCATGCTGAAGGGCAGCGAAACAGCTGAAAGTGAAGCCCCGCCTCTACCGCCAAGAACGTACATTTATCCGTGTGGGACCCATATACGCATTAATGTCGAATACTCAGTTAACTGGAAGCCAATTTCGTCTTCCGGAGGGTAATTTCTTTTGAAAGCGGTGGTCCTAAATTCCCCTTTCCTTCTGGTGAGTAAAAAGCTAGCCAAAGATTTGATCATCCGTGAGTTTGGTTCTTTTACTTTCTTGTTTCCGGTCTTTTTTGCGTTGCTTGTCTTTAAAGCGACGTCTTTTCCTCTATATTTTTCTCAAGTGTTATTTTACTAAGACAATCCATGGTTCGGTCTTTAAAGCTGTTGAAAAATGATTAAGTTTCCAATGGCCCATTCGTATAGAATTCAATATGCTCATAGGCTTTCTCCAATGCATTTGAGACAATTCAGAAGTCTTGCTGAGATGCTTTATCTTCATCTTTTTACCGTTTTTTTCTTTGAGATTCTTGCTGCAGTTTTATATTTTTTTGCCTGTCTCGCTGTGTTTCTTGGTTTTTTTTCAGTGTATGAAGCAGTCCTGAAGCCTTTCCAGGTAATATGGCGGCCCGTCCGCTCGTCACCGTTTACAATGAAAAGTACGAGGCTACGGAAACTCAAATCAAGCTTCCGTACGTATTCCGTGCTCCTATTAGACCGGACGTAGTTAGCTTTATTCATGACCAAATGTTCCGCAACAAGCGCCAAGCCCACGCTGTTTCGACGCTCGCCGGTTAGTTAGAAATATGATTATATCGCCATTTGTTTTTTTTTGAACTTTGAAATATTTTTGTTTTTTAATCGTAGCAGTTTTTCATTTACTTCGTTTTGTTGTCAACTAGGAGTTAAAGAACTACTTTTGGAGTACTTATACGAAGAGGTAGCTTAAGAAGGAGGCTGGTCCAGTTCAGTGTAATCATAATATCGGAATCCTTACGCTGAACTGTTCCTATGTGATATCTTAGGGCCACGGTTTGCAGAAGCTTCGAAAAAGGAGGTGATATTAGCTTTAAGGATGAAGAGAACTGGGTTTCTCTCAACTCAGTGCTGTTACAGCAACCAAATACTAATAGAACTGCTAGGGTGGAGCTGGTAGGTCATCCAATAACACAACGCATTGATGCAATTTGGAGAAGGTCTTACCATTCTTCCCTTGAGAAATAATTGGATTATTGCTGAGCCTGAATTGGTTGCTGCCTTGACTTCTCTCCTCCTCCAGTATTTGCCACTTGCTTGATTCTAATTGTTACATCCTTTGGGCCTCGGGTACTTTTTTTCAGTATTCGAGACATCCTTGGGTACATTGAAGACCTGTCATATGTCCGTTATCTTTCGGAGAACAGTGATGTAAACCGGCCCGTTTTGGTTTTTTATTTAAGTGGATTTGAAATTTCACATCATTAACGTAACAATTCAATTTCCGTGGTTGATATCTATTTGAAAATGTAGCATCACTTGGAAACTCTAAATCTATTCACATATTCTTGCTAACCAAAGCATGAAGCTTATTGTCCTCATCACCATCATAATTTTGTAGTATATGTCCCTCCACCTCCCCTATAGTTTTCTGCAGGTATGTCATCATCTGTATTTTTTCGTACGTACAGTAGCGCTCAAAAGTCTTCGGTGAAATGCTTCTTCAGTCACACTTAGTCGTAACTCCTTTCCTGCTGGGTCTAATCGCGCGAAATTTCGAAATGTGTAGCATGGGTGTATTGTGAATATTTACCATTATTAGCCTGCAGTCTAATCAGTTCCAAATATCCCAAAGAGCTTGAATTCAAAACCAACGGGACATACGGATGATGTTCCTTCCGGGATGTCTAAAGTGTACGACCGCTGATGCCGAACACAGTGACGAATGACTGCAGATGTCACCAACTTTGCTTTTAGCGAAATCTGCTGCTTCATAAACATCTTATTCTAATCCTGTGAATATGGCTCCATAATCCAAAAGTGTTCGTTAGTGTAAAATAGTTAGTTAAACATTTAACTTAGTTTAACAACTTACTTAAACATATCAAAATTTCGCGCGAATTGCTCCACTAAGAAAAAAGTTATGAACGTAAAAGCGTGAAAGCGTTGACCGAACACTTTTGAGCGCTGCTGCAGCTTTAAATCCGTAATCCTTTTCATTATTGCCCGCAGATCGGTCATCGCGCGTTAATTATCAGGTAGATGCACTGAAACCAGTCATATTTTGGACAAACGTTTTAGAACTTTCCTATAGAATCAACAACCACCCTCGAAGTTCATTTACAAGCGATGGGCTCAGGGCGGTTTTCATTCAGAGGCATTGTGCGAGAGCGAAATATCGTTTGTTTGTTGATGTTATTCGTTCTGATTTCCCCTCTTCCTTCTGCAGTACCAGTGCTTTATTAATATACCTTTCATAATTTTTCATATCCAATAACTACAATTCAAATTTTGAAGCCAAAAAGTATCCCCCACCCGCTGTTTTGGCATTTCTCAGCTTCGGGAATTATTGATTGTCTAATGAGTTTTGCAGTTGCGCCTGAAAAAGCCTCGGCTCCCCCATATAAATAGTTCCGTGTTCAGTGAAGGAAATAATTTGTGTATCACTGTCCATTCGAGCAAAAGCAAGCCATACTATCATCATAAACTTAACATTGGGTCAATGGAAATAATGTCATGCACTTGAGACGCCACTGAATTGTGAATTAATTTATGGAATTCGAGTTCTCGATCCGAATGAATAACATGTTGTTCTGGAGTTATAACTTTTTGATTATTGAAGTAAATCAAGTCACTTTATTTCAGGAAAGCAGCACTCCGCCGAGTCATGGGGAACAGGACGCGCTGTTGCTCGTATTCCTCGTGTACGTGGTGGTGGTACCCACCGCTCTGGACAAGGAGCTTTCGGTAACATGTGCCGCGGAGGACACATGTTCGCTCCACTGAAGGTGTTCCGAAGATGGCACCGTCACGTTAATATCGCTCAGAAGCGTTACGCCATTTGCTCGGCTATCGCCGCATCAGGAATTCCCGCTCTTGTACAGGCCCGTGGTCACATCATCGACAAAGTTGCAGAGGTTCCATTTGTTGTCAGCGATAAGATCGAGTCGTTCCGTAAGACCAAGGAAGCTGTAACCTTCCTTCGACGCTCGCACATCTGGGAAGATATTGAGAAGGTGAATAAGCTATCATTTTATCGTACCTAGGCAAAGCTTACTGCATGTTTTTAGGTTTACGCTTCGAAACGTACACGTGCTGGAACCGGTAAGATGAGAAACAAGCTGCACAAGAGAAAGCTGGGCCCAGTTCTTATTTACGGGCAAGATGCTGACTGCGCTCGTGCTTTCAGAAATATCCCCGGAGTAGACATTTTGAATGTAGAGCGTCTCAACCTTCTCAAACTTGCTCCTGGAGGACATCTTGGCCGCCTCATTATCTGGACCGAATCTGCTTTCAAAAAGCTTGACGCGATCTATGGAACCCTCAAGGCTAACTCTTCGGAACAGAAAAATGGTTGGTCTGTTCCTCTCAACAAGCTCACCAACGCCGATCTGTCCAGGCTGATTCGCTCCGAAGAAATTGTCCGCGCTGTCAGGCCTGTTAAGAAGAACGTGAAGTCGGCAAAGGTGCACAGGAATCCACTCAAGAAGCACAATTTGATGAACAAGTTAAACCCATATGCTGCTACATTCCGCAAGGCAGCAAAGAAGACTGCGGCCAAGAAGTAAATTGTTACCTGTTGATAAAGATTGTTATGTTATCGTTTATTTAAGCCAATTCATTATAATAATCACTATGTAGTACTTTCGGAAGTGAAATTTGCCTCCTTGATCGACTTGGTCGACATTCATCGTGAGATCGGTCTATTTCATCTAATCTGAAAACGAAGTCTATTACCAAATATTAGCTCTGAACGTTTAAAAAGTGCGCCTTACGTTGATTCCCGTTCAAGTTTTCGCACCGTTGTAGACGTAGTTTTTATTGTGGCATCGATTCGACTTAAAATGTCCCTCATGCTTTCTTGTGGGCGGTCATCTATCTTTTCTACAGGCTTCGATGGCTCACTGCGTTGACTTCGCAGTTCTTTAATGCTACCCGTTGTCCGAGAACCGTCATTTCCTATAGGTATCCGTATAGATGTCTTCAGGTGAAGAGCCTCCATCGACCATAACTTGTTAGCACGAATAATGGCTGACACCTGAATCACCATGTAGAAATGTTGGAAACTGAAGAATAGCCTGGGTTTTAGCAGCCTACATCATAGACCTTAGGGTGTCTTGGACTAGTCCGCTACCTGTACCTTTTGTATCATCTACTATTCCCGGTTTGAATGGGTAGAAATCTGTTGTTACTAACCCTTGGAAAGGAAAAAAGAAGAGCGAGCTCTTCACAAGAGAGGTGCAATAGCCCGCCCTTGAAGACTTCTGTGTCTTTTGACAACTACTTACTTGGCCATTAATTTTGAAATTCTATGTCGTCTAATTGACCACGTTCATGGCGTTTGGTTGCCCTCTTCACTCTTACCCAGAAAAGTTATGTGTGAGATTAAAGCTCTCACATGACGTACCGAATATTTGCAGTAAAAAAAGACGTCCTCCCGGCCCTTGAAAACTCCATGGCCTTTGCCTCTTCAGCTTTTTTGTGTAGGGCAAAAAATAATATCAAATAATGTTCAAATGAACAAAAAAAAGCTTCTAGTGTGTGTACTCACCGAGCAATCATTTTTAAGAGCTATGCCCTGTAATGTGTCGTCCGGTTTGACTGTATAATTTATGTATTTTCTTGGTAAATGATCTGAGGATGGAGGTTGAGTTGTGCCGTAGCGGCGTACCT